AGTGGGGGGAGTGGGAGGGTGTTGGGAGGGGGGGCGGAAATGGAAACTTTTATAATTTAATAAAATTTACTAAAAAAAAAAGAAAAAGAAAAAAAATAAAATAAAAATGTAATGTTAAAAAAAAAGAATTAAATGTATTATTTTACAAGTAGAATTAAATGAAGAATATGGACTTTGTAGTCTTACAAATTCATGTTAGAAACCTAATTACCAATTTTGTTGCCCCATACAGGTTATTCAGTTTCTTCATGTATAAAATTCTAACTAAACACAAATCTTGTAGAATTTCTGTTAAAACTAATCAATTTAGTCCTAGTGCTCTGCCCTCTATCGTTCTGGTAGATAGCACAGCAGAGAATCACCAGACATCAGTTTCAGTCCCCTCACTTCTGTCTTTAACTCCACTTATCCCAAATCCTGGCCCCATCACAGAGACTTGGATTGGTATACAGTCATGCATATTGTGAAACATTAGGCAGAACCACTAACGACACAGAGGTATTTCCGGGACTAAAAGTTTTATTTAAACATTTCAGCCACAATTTCCCCATTTTAAGAATAAAAACCTATTGTAAGCATATAATCCTTTTTAACTTTTAATCTAACCTCTCTCTCATAACTATAATAAAGTGACCACCGGAGAGACAGCAAAAACAGAGAGAGGATCGATCTCAATGGCTCAGCACATTGTTCTAGGCTGTGTCCTAGCACTGTGATAAACACTATGGCCAAAAGCAACATGGGGATGAGAGGGTCTATTTGGTTACACATCCCAATCACAGTTCATCACAGGGGGAAGTCAAGGTAGAAACTTAAAAGCAGGAACTGATGCAGAGACCATGAAGGAACACTGCTTACTGGCCTGCTCATGGTTAGCTGCCTTCCTGATACCTCACAGGACCACCTGCCCAAGGGTTGTTCCAACTACACAGAACTGAGCCTTCTTACATTAGTCACTAATTAAGAAAATGCATCTCAGACTTGCCTATAGGTCAATCTTCGAGAGGTATCCTCTTTCTTGAGGATCCTTCCTATAGATGACCATAGCCTGTGTCAACTGCCCAAAAGCAAAAACAAAAACCACACGCACAAGTATGAACCCTGACAAAGTAGGAGACCTACTTTGGTAGTGATCCTGTATGTGATGTAGGTCTCCATTGTACAGACGTGCTTCTTAGGATCATCAACCGTGACAAAGAGATCTCTAGTTTCACCATCAATGTCATCATCAAGCTGGAGTCTGTTCAGAAGGGAAGATGAAGACGCTGGGCTCGAAGTGCCCGCTGGAGTACCACCATTGGGCAAAATGAGATCCTGGAAGAAAAGAACAGTCTTAAAAATCACATGAATGGAGAACCTCACCAAACCACAGCTGCTGCAGCCACACTATGAAAAACCTCAAAAACGAATGCCAATGGGCCCATGCTTCTCTTCACTCCATGTGTCTTAAATGAACAGGTCACAGGAGGAACTCAAGTAGAAACCGATGCAGAGGCCATGGAGGAATGCTGCTTACTGGCTTGCTCTCCATGGCTTGCTCTGCCTGCTTTCAAATAAACCCTGGGATGACTTGTCCATGGGTGGTACCTCCCACAGTGGGCTTGACCCTCCCACATCAATTATTAATCAATACAATGCCCCACAGACTTGCCTACATGCCAGTATGATGGAGGTGTCTTCTAGATTGAGGTTCATTTTCCCAGATGACTCTAGCTTGTGTCAAGTTGACAAAAAGCTAACCAGATCTTAGCCTCTTATGCTATCTGTCCCATTGTGTATTTAAAATTTCACAATAAAAAAATTTTTTAAAGATATTGTCAGAGGGAGAAATGTCAGGAAGGAAGGAAGGAAGGAAGGAAAGAAGGAAGGAAGGAAGGAAGGAAGGACAGCAAACAACAGTTCTCATTCTCCTTCCACCATAGGATGAAGGCCTAAGTCTACCTGGATAAATTACATGTTAAGAATTTGTTATAAATATAGTATCCTATTTATGTTTTATTTTATGTTGGGTTTTTCGAGACAGGGTCTCACTGTGTAGCCTTGGCTATTCTGGAACTTGCTCTGTGGACCAGGCTTGGCCTTGAACTCAAGAGATTCACCTGCCTCTGAATGCTGGGATTAAAGGCCTGTGCAGCCATCATCCGGTGTTTTTGTTGTTGTTGTTGTTGTTATTTCTTTGTTTGTTTTGCAAACGTGGTATTTTTAAAAGGCTGTGGTGGTCTGAAGGTAAATGGCTCCCATAGGCTCCACAGGAGTGGCACTATTAGGAGCTGCAGCCTTGTTGGAGGAAGTGTGTCACAGGGGATGGACTTTCAGGTTTCAAATGCTCAAGCCAGGCCCAGTGTCTCTCTCTTCCTGCTGATCCAGATGATATAACTCTAAGCGACTCCTAGGCATCATGTCTGCCTGCATGCCACCATGTTTCCAACCATGATGGGCTAAACCTCTGATGCTGTAAGCCAGCACCAGTTAAATGTTTCCCTTATAAGAATTGTGGTCATGGCTCTCTTCACAGCAATAAAAACCCTAACTAAAACAAAGGCCATGAACATCTAAGGCCCAGTCTAACAGTCCCCCTGTAGTGTTGGAATTTGACAAGGGAACAGAGCCTGTGTCTAGCAGAAGATGGGAAGACCCGAGTGTTACCTCAGAAATCACTGGAAGACAAAGACTAAGAATGTGGCAAAAAGTGACATGATACCAATGGAAAGGCATTGGTGCCCCAGATCATAGGGTGGGGTCAAAGAAGCACTCTGGAAGCTCTGACCTGTCCCTTACAAGTCACTTCAGAAGTAATATCCATGAGCTACAGCTGATCAGAGGAGACCCCAAAGAAGAAAGATGAGACAAGGCAGAGGAAAGCAAGGCCTGGGGTGAAGAGAAATGTCATTCTGCTCAGCGGGTGACAGAAGCACACAGAAGGGGCTCTCCTTTGCCTCCCACCTGCACCAACCACAGATCATTTAATCATATACTTAAAGCAATGTCAAAAATGTTGTACAGGGGTAGTAGATCCAGGACAGCTAGGGCTATGTAATAAAGACCTTCACTCAAAAACACAGAACAAAAAAATTAGTTTTTGAAACTATCAAAAGGGTGCCATCTTTTGTGGCAGGCTTCCTATTTGAAGCAACTGTCAATATTAATCATTTATCTAAAGGCTGAATAGATGGTTCAGTACTTAAGGGCACTTCCTGCTCTTACAGAGGACCAAGGTTTAGTTCCTAACACCCACCTAGTATCTCACAACTGTCTGTAATTCCAGTTACAACCCAGAGTTCCTTTTATTGCATCTGTAGGCACCATGTATACATGTGGTGCACAAACATACATGCAGGCAAACAAATATTCATACTATAACATAACAATAAACATTTTTACATCATTGATTTACATTGATTTATCCACAAACAATAGCTTCTCCCTGTGTGTGCATGTGTACATGTGTGTACTTGCTGATGTAATTATCTGTCTTGTACATGTGTAACATGTGTGTGCACATGTACAACTGTGTGCATGTGCTGATTCAATTATCTATCTGCCTTGTGCATGTGTACATGTGTGCATGTGCTGGTGTAATTATCTATCTTCCATGTGCATGTGTACATGTGTGTGCATGTGGTGGTATAATTATCTATCTGCCTTCTCTTGTCTGATCTACAGAGACTCTATACCAGCTCTCCTAGGTTTATCCTTAGGGACCTCAGCCAGTAACCTTGAAGAACAGCCACATATAATATGAAATGCCCTGACCAGTACAGGAAAGGGAGAGTCAGGCAATCAAATCCTGTCACAGCCAAATCTGGTCAAATTCCTTCCTCCTGGGACTAGACAGCTAGGGAAAATGCTGTCACCTCTCACTCCAGGGTGTCCCTGCAGTAGTTGGGCATATAGGAACAATGGACAAGACTCAAGTGTCTGAAGTCTCCAGAGCAGTGATGCTACTGCTCCGACTGACCAATAACAGCCTTGCAAGATCAGCAGGTCAGCCATGACCCCTCTCCATGAGCATGCACACTAGCCTGCCCTAGTGTTTGATATGCCAATAATTGAGCCTGAGTTCCTTACTAAACTGAATTGCTTCATGGAAATTTTCCAACCCCTTGGCAATTCTTCCTCTCCATTCTCTGGTCATAAATTCTTCTAGGCAAACATGAATCTTCTGTTTTTAAAGCCATTCAGGTAAAGCCAAAATTTTTTCTTCAGGATCATAAGTTTATCACAAAATGACTTTCAAGATCCCGAAATCTTGTACTAAGAAAACACAAAGATCTTAGGAGTAACAAGCGAGGGTTAGGTGAAGTGAACAGCCTAGGTACCTCTGCCCAGCAGAGACCTCAGGAGTGGAGTTTGTTGTGCTCTGACCTGGATTCTCAAGCAGACACCTCATGGTAGCAACATGAGCTGCAGACACTGCAGACACAGAGCAAGTACTCTTACCTAAGTTATCATCAGTCACTTCTCCATATCACAGTTAGAGTCCTTCTTTAAAAAAAAAAATCAAATCTAAGGTTAGAGAGAAGACTCAAAAGTTCTGAGTACTTGTTATTAGCAGAGGGCACCCACATAGTGTGGCTCACAACTGCCTGGGACTCCAGCAGTAAGGGACCTGACACCCTCTTCTGGTGTCCTCAGGCACCTACACACATGTATACAAACTCACACACAGACGCACATAGGCATATAAATAAATAAATAAATAAATAAGTATAGAAAGTTCCAGGACAGGCAAGAATACACAGAGAAACCCTGTCTCTTATAGCAACACAAAAACAAAACAAAATCCACTCATTGCTGTAAAATGTCAACTCTTGCTTGTAGTTGTAAGAACACTCCTTCCTCTGTCCCCTGTCCCTCACTCTTTACCCAAGAAAGACACACAGAGAAAATTGCATTCCCTCACAAACTCCTCTGGTTCAAGAAATTCCAGTTTCAAGATCTGTTATGGCCAGTGGATGGCAAGAAAATTAACATACACATACATCTCTGGCGAGATTTTCCGTTTTGTTAAACATGAGGTTCATAAAAGTAGAGTGGCCTCTACTGGGAGTCAATATGGACGCAGAGAAAACACTAGTCATGCTAACATAGTCCAGCTTCTTTTCTTGACACCGGGTAATGTGGGTAACATGAAGACCCATTTCAGAGGAGTCCAGCAAAGCAAATCAAGACAACCCACAGGGGAGCACAGCACAGGGGAGCACAGCACAGGGGAGCACAGCACAGGGGAGCACAGCACTTATCCACAGCCTGCACCTGCCCAGTCTGTCCTAAGTCATAGATACAGCAGAGACCTCAAGAATGAATATGTCCTACACAAATCGAACAGAACACTCCTGACTGATGATTTTGCTGTAAAATTCAATTTAAACACACTCTGGAGAACCAACTCAAAGGGCAAAAACTCAAAAGTAGGCTTTTCAAAGATACTCAGCAGAACAGGGGACACAGTGAACCTGAAAAGTGGCCAGGGTTGAAGGCGTTTACAGTAGCAAGACAGACAATATACTATACATTCATTATAAAAATTATAAGTCCAAGCTGAGTATAGAGGAGAATGCTTGCAATCCTAGTACTGGGGTAGCAGAGGGATTAAAAGTTTGAGGCCAGTCTGCATTATATAGCAAGGTTCTCCTTTAAAAATAGACTCTATACAGACAGATAGATAAAAATTATAAATCTAGACATCTAGACAGTCTCAATAAGTTAACCACCACAGCTAACTTCCTCCCCACCCTACCACTAGATGCTAACCTGGCATCTAAAGAATAGGGTACAAAAAGAACTGGAATCCTGGGAACCAGGAGAGAGTGCCACCCAAGTACCAGGCTTTCTAAAATTTTCTACTAGATATAATTAGGGCACTGCTGAAAAGGGGTCCAAGAGATACCTTTAATAGAGTTTTTTTTTTGAGACTATATAACTGTCATTGAGGCTTGCAAAGATGTAGAAAATATCTTTACCCCAATCCCTTCATAGCCTAATTTGAAAATGCAGTTGTAGGGGCTGGTGGTGGGGTGTGGCAGACAGGACAGTGAGACAAAGTAAGGCTTCTGGCTGAGGTGATGCACAAAAACCACAAAGCAGTGAGAATCACCAGCAGGGGTGCCCTTCCCACAAGGCTTTGGTGTCGCTTAAGGGGCTGATGAACTGGTCAGACACAGCTGAAAGCACTGAGGGGTGTGGGGCTCTGCGCTGAAGACAGAGCACTGGGAAGGGACACTGAGATGAGTCGGACCACCTCTCACTAACTGGTGTGCCCAGGACTTGCCTTCCGTCCCCATCCCTCTTCTGCTTGCTCAAGTGTTTAAAAG